TGGCACACTTTTCTGCCACATGGCAGAACTCTCACTTTTACATTCCTGCTGCAATATCAGTTTTTCAAAGAGGCCTTCCATACTACCTCATCTAAAATAACTTCAGAGAAGCAGAACCTTAAATGCTGAGTTAACCTGCCTTAGTTTTCTTCAAAATATTTATTATGTGCTGACAACTTTATTTATTGCTGTTTGGTTGTCTCATCCCACCAGAAGGTGAGATCCCATGAGATCAGGGTGCTTTGGCTCAATCACCCCTATATCATTAGCCCAAAGAGAGTTCCTGGCACATTATAGCCAGTCAGTACTTATTGTTTGAATGACTGAGTGATGCATACTTCCCCAACTTGGCGATGTATATTTAGAAAATTTTCATTAAGTAATTCTAGTCTGTTTCTTCCACCTGGACAAAACCAGTGACTTAAGGAGTGTAAGAAATCTTTTCTAGTCCAGTGTGTGGTGCTCAAGAGCTAAGTAAGAAGTCACTGTTAATCATGATAGGAATCACCTGTGCATAGGACATGCAGCCCACTGACCTTCACCTTGCTCTGCTAGACTTGGGCTAATCCTAAGGAATTAATAGGACTAACCTGTATTCCCTGCCAACTCTGGGGTTTGATTCAACCTTGTTCAAATATAGGGTAATCTCGGTGGCAGAAGAGGGGCACTGTAGATGGATTCCCATGCCCTTTATCCTCTACATGGGTCCAGCTTAGGTTTATTTCTCCGTCTCCATGTTGTGTATCCACCCACAAATGCAGTATAGTATAAACCTGAAACTGGGTAGGAGAGTCCACCCATTTGACCATTGGGTAATGTACTGTAAACTGTCCTTTGCTCTTCCTGAAATAGTTTAGAGTTGGTGGACAGTTGTTGAGTTGCCAGTCCTTGACTTCCTTTTTCCCATTTCACAGCATTATTTGTGCTCCCCAAACCTAAAGTGATCTCCTATCTAGAGCAAGGGGAAGAGCCGTGGATTCAAGGGCCCTTGGAGTTCAAGAACAGCCCTGGAGGGCTGCCTACAGGTAAATATACCATGGGAAGAGGACAAATGTGCCTTGATAGCAACCTTAGCATTTCAAATTCTGCTTATCTATATTTTGTGAATCAGTAATCATTGGATTTTTCTCTCCATTCCTGTAGTTTTGCTTTGCCGTACAGTTGGCTGATTGTTATGTTTATTCCCATAGGGTTAAAGGTCAAAACTGACACTGAAAACCATCAGCCTGTGTGTCTTTCTGACTTAGAAATACAAGCACCAGGAGACATAGTATCAAAAAAGACCCGAGTGAAAGTTCCCCAGAAAACAACAGGCAAAGAAAATCATGGTGATACACACAGGATGGGGAAGTGGCACCGAGATTTTCCCGTGAAGAAAAGAAAGAAACTTTCAACCTGGAAACAAGAGCTGCTAAAACTTATGGATCTTCACAAGAAAGCTCGTGCTGGAGAGAAGCCATTTAAATGCCAGGAATGTGGGAAAAGCTTCAAAGTTAGCTCTGACCTTATTAAGCACCAAAGAATTCACACTGAAGAGAAACCATATAAATGTCAACAGTGTGATAAGAGGTTTAGATGGAGTTCAGATCTTAATAAGCACTTAACAACGCACCAAGGAATAAAACCATACAAATGTTCCTGGTGTGGGAAAAGCTTCAGTCAAAATACAAATCTACATACGCACCAAAGAACTCACACTGGAGAGAAGCCCTTTACGTGTCAGGAATGTGGGAAAAAATTCAGTCAGAACTCCCACCTTATTAAACATCGGAGAACCCACACAGGTGAGCAGCCATATACTTGTAGCGTATGCAGGAGAAACTTCAGCAGGAGGTCAAGTCTTCTTAGACACCAGAAACTCCACCGCTGAATGGAAGTTTATCCAGTGTCCTCATTCTGAAGAAATTCACAAAGTAGAGGTTGACCCTGAGATTTATGAAAAAATACAAAATTATGAAGTATAAATAACTCTTCACCAGAGGAAAATTTGTTGATACAAACATATTTCACAGAAAGGAATCAAGGTTGACTCTGCAGGGATCTCTGTAAGTAGTTTTGTACTACTTACATTTTTACACGTAACCTTTGGGGAATTCCTTAGCAAGAAAGGTGCTGAAAGAACATTCTCAGTAAGGGAAACATTTTTGCAACTCTACCTGGCAAAATAGCAAATTCAGCTTTAAATGGCAGATGCATACATGAATCAGTCTTTTATGATCACAGAGGGTAAATACTGTTGGCTTTGCATTGAATTCCCATCCACTTTTAAACACATTGATAGAAACATTTGTAGCCTGGTCTTTCAAAAGAAAAAGCAATAACCTGCATGTTTAATTGGATACCATTGCCTACAGGGTAGTAGGCTTACCAATTTCAAGAGCCCTATGACACAAAAATGAGCTCTGTTGTCAAATTTTCCAAGAACCAAATTGGATTTTCTTCCTTTCCCTTGTCATTGGACACTGTTCCCACCGTTTGGACATCATTTGAGTTCATTCTTGAATATTTTAGCAACTTTAGCTCTTGAATCCTTTTAGCACCATTTTTACTGTGATGAAATGGTATTTACTTCACCACTAGGGAATCTGCCAGATAAAGTAAAAATGCACTATCTTATACCTCATTGGTGGTGTTTGAAAAAGATAAACATCTCTAATGAGATCATATGAAAACGGGTTGGAATGTTTAGCCATGGATTATGTATTACATGTAACGAATTTTTTGCAATAAAAGAAACTAGTCCTTATAATCTCAGTATGATAAAAGATAGCACTTTCTTGAGGCCTAAAAGAAAATTAATGGAAGTTCAGATGAACTTCTCACATTTTTATTTGCTTTTTTGTTTGGCTTTATTTTTAAGAAAAAGGGCAGAGTTTAGGAACTGGAGTGTGTGCTGCAGGCAGGATGTGGTTCACTGAATGTGGCAGAAGACTGGGTTCCCAAGAGGAAAGGTTTGGGAACTGATGTTGACTGGTGGACAAGGATGGGTGAATCTGCATTCATGTTGGTTGTGTTACACTGCAAACTATTATTAAGCAGGCAGGGTCTGCCTATCTCTGTTTTGTACACAGCATTTAACAACAGCCTTAGCTGATAAATGATATAGATGGCTGAACATCTCTCCGGGCTGTGGATCTTCTTAGAACTCCTACCTACAGCAGTGACATGTGTTCCTGTTAGAGCTTTTAGGTTGTATCAAGAAGGGGTTGAAGGGGATTAAATGATTTCTCCCAAATACCTTATAAACGATGAAGTTAAGGCTCAGATACGGGACTTGTTCAAGACCCTATTGCTAGTGGGTCCGTTGGCTGCCTGCTAGCTGCATCAGGGAGGTCTGAAGGCAGGGTTAGCAGGATGTGTACGTTATCCCTGCAGGACCAGGCTGAATGACATTGTGTTGTATCTACTTCTAACTTACAAAACGTTCTTGTGGCTTGATTGGTTCCCAAAACACTTAGATCTCCATGTGTTCTGTGCAAGAGAGAAAACTATTTCAACTCAGGGTTATTCTAGGGACTAGAGGGATTGGTGAATGAAAAGCACCTCACAGCCTGGCCAGTGGTAGATGCTCAATCAGTGTGCATTTGCTTCCCTTTCCCCTGTTCCCCAGTGATGTGCTGGGCAGACTGACTGCAGTAAGGAAGCAGTTGTGTTTATGGCTATTTTCAGCTCCTTTTAGGAGTTGTGCACTGCTGGTGGTGATGTTGCTCAGTTGATTTGGTCCTTGGCCTCAGTACTTTATGGTGTAAGTCACCTGAGCTGTGGATCTGGTGCTTTCAGCAGGATTTTGTTTTCCTCCCCAAGATGAACAATACCAAGTATTACTTCTTAGGCAGAGCCAACTTTAAAAGCTTTCGTCTGCATAGCTTTTACCCATCACCCTCATCCTTAGGCTTCGGGTACTCTGTCTCATCCCAGGATACATGCGGACAACTTCCTGGTGCTACATTCATTCAATTTCATGGGGGCCTCTTACGTGCCCAGGAACTGTTTTGTCTAGACTGAGAATATAGTGGTGAATAAAAGAGCTAAAGATAGACCCTCACAGGACTTACAGTCTAGTGAGGAGTATAAAGAAGACTGGTTATAGTTTTCTGCTTGCAGTTTAGGGTCTCATGAGATAGTTGAAGGTAATGGGTTGTGAGCAGAAGCCCCACTTCTGGGCTGAAGCCTTTGTTTGTTTGTGCAGGACTCTGTGGTGTCCTTCCTGCCTCAGTCATGAAAGTCCAGCAGAAACTGGGGCCACAAGGTCAAAGTAGTCTGGAATGCTGAGCCCTCCTCCCCACCTCCCCCCTCCATGGAGAGCAGTTGTCCTAAAGTCCCCCAGACCTGTGATGGACTTTATGGGAATGAGAAATAAACTTCTGTTAAACTATTGAGATATTGGTGTTGTGTGTTTCTGCAGCATAACCTGGCCTGTCTACATAGACACAGCTATTCTACTAGAGCTCTGGAACCCTTTCTGTGTCAGTCCGCATGGACTTTGGCCCTCAGAAGAGATCTGCCTTCCTGTAGATGCTCCACTGAGCTCATGTAACACTGATAGGCACACTGAGGAGCTTACAAGACTAGGTGATAGGAAAGAAGGATAGATTTTTTTACCTGAGACAAGTCCAGGTTGGTTAGTTCTTCAAGTGGACAAAGCAACCATCGCCCCCTCTCTGGCTTCATTCCCCTTCTCTTGCTCTCCCTCTGTGCTCCACTGCTTTTGTACATAAAGATGTGTTTCTATTGATCAGTGGGCTATAGAGAGGGTAGAGGTTACCTTTTTTTTCCTCCTGTGAGTGCAGTAGACTTTAAGCATTCATTTGTTAACTACCCCTCTCATACCTTCTGCGAGTTGGCCTCAGAAACAGGACATAGGGCAGAAGCAGATTTGTCCTGATCAGTGTAGAGAGGAAGGGGACTGCCCTCTTGGACTGAGAGGTGGTAGTTGGGAGGAAGGTCATGCAGGAAAGCAGGAGCAGGACATTGCAGTTGAGGAGTGAGAAGCCTCTGTTGGGAATGTCTGCATAGCCAAGAACCAGCAGTACAATGTTCCACAACTCATGTTTGGAAATTTGGGGGTAGACATGTGGATATTGGAAGAAGGAATTTCTGTAGCCTGTCAAAGGGATGAGAGCAGACTACCAAAAATGCAACATAAAATCAAAATCTATTTAGGCTTGGTTTCTTTTTTGTTAAAGATCGTATTATTTCAGAGAGAGAGTGTGCGAGAGTGCAAGCATGAACGGGGGAAGGGGCCGAGGGAGAAGCAGACTGCCTGCTGAGCAGGGAGCCAGGAGCCCGATGTGGGGCTGGATGCCAGGACCCTGGGATCATGACCTGAGCCGAAGGTAGCCGCTTAACCTACTGAGCCACTCAGGCACCCCTATTTAGGCTTGGTTTAGAGATGAAGTACAACACACAAGTTTAGCCTGAAATGTTAGTTTTAAAGTTCTCAGAGATGTCTTTTATAACCAAATGATTCTAGGACAAACCAGAAGGTGCTTCATTTCAGGTGGTTCAGATAACAGCCTTACAGTGGCTCCAAGCTTGGTTCCGAGAACTGGAACAGTGACCAGTGTAACCCTGAAATCCTCTCTGCACTGTGCTAAGTGGCCACAGTGTGGGAACTGTGCCAGACCCAGAGTTCTCCCCACCCTTAAGCAGACTGCATCTGGAACCTCAAGCTTATCTTGAGAACCTCCACTGTCTTAGCTGGAGGGGAAGCACGGGAGGAGAGCTTGGAATCAAACTAAAAGTGCTAGGGTTGATCAACTTTTGGAACCATGAGAAGAGTGTCTTAATTCCCCTGGAGAGCTTGAGAGCAGGAATGCTAAGCAGCCTTTTCGATCCAGCTGGACAGTTGGTATAACACAGAAGGTTGGAATTCCGTAAAGGATTTTCTAAACATTCATCTGAGTCACTCCACAGACAGGAGTTTACTGACCACCCTCTGCATTTCCTGGCCAGTTGCACTCTGACGTAATGGGTCAAGACTGCCTGTTACTTTCCTCTCTGGGTTTTACCCTCTATTGCTTAGAGTGGATTCTTTGCTGAAGGGCTCACATTGCTTCTGTGGGTTCTCACCTGAATGGAGTCTCTGGAGTGCTCTCAAGTAGGAAGGCTGAGCCTTTGTTCACACTTTGTGTTTCCAGGGTTGTTTGCCAAACGTATTTGGACAAAAGTGTATTATTGTTACTAAATCTTGTCCACGTTTGTCACCTTTATCATTTCTTTCTTGTGTGGGTTTAGTGGGGAGCAAGGCTGGAGTACTCTTGAAGCGTCTGCCATGTAGCTTATGTGCAGCGTTTCCTGCATGTGTGAATTCCCCAGTGGGCAGCGGTACCAGGCTATTGTGAAATGTTTTCTGCAGTCCAACGTTTTTGAGGCTTTTCTCCTGTGACCCACCCGACCCACCACATCTGAGAACCCCTGCACTTCACTTTAAAGCAGTCACCCCATCTCTCATGAGAGGAATCCCTCATGAGAGGGATCAAGCAGATCTGAATCTGAGTTTCAGATTTAGCTAAACTGTCAGAGTTGCTTCTCACTTCCATCACAGCAGGACGATGACTTTGGAGTTGCACTGATCTTGGCACTAACACAAAACAGCAAGCTTTATAGTATTTAAATACTCTGCACCTTTAAGGTAAAACTTAATAATAAAACTTACTGTTGAATTTTTTTAAACAAATGATAGATTTCTGATATTATAATTTTCACACTAAGTATTTTCCCACCATGTTTATGAACAACTGAACAGTGTCAGGGCATTAGAAGAAAAAAGTGAAGGATCTTTAATATTAATAAGGGTAAAAGTAAAATGTGTTTAACTTTAGTAAAGTTTTCTTTAAAAATATTAGTAGCTTAAGGAGCAATAGTTTATGGTGGAGAGTTAGGAATAGGTTTTTTAAAACATTTCCTTCATCCTTTAGCTATGGTGGGGGAGCATTCATCCTCATTAAAGCTATTTATCATCCTTAAAGGAGAAGTTTGTATTGCCAATCTTATTCTTTCAATGAAGAGGCACTTTTGCAATATTCAGTTCTGTGAGCCCTCTAAAACTCCCACATTTTAAAATCCAAACTTGCACAAGGGCTCTCTCTCCCTTTTACTCATGTACCAGTCATATCTGCTCTTCTCACTCTGAGCACTGTGTATATTTTCATCATAGCATGTATCACCACTTAGAGTTATTTGGTTTGTTTACTTGTTTTTGTCCATTTTCCCCCATTAAAATGTAAGCATGAGCAGGGCAGGGGCTGTGTCTTGTGCAGCCTTGAGTCTTCAGTGTCAAGCACAAGACTGACACATTATCATACATAATAAACACAATGGAATATTACAAAAGAGGGAAACTGCCATGGCCCCCTGCACACTATCTTAGTTTACTCAGAACATCCACTGGCTCAATAATCTTCCTTCTTGAGGTATCAAATGCTTCATTGATTGTGATGACCATGAGTCCCTGTCTTGCTCTTTACCAGAAGAGGTGGAAGAAAAGAGCATCAAGTCCTCTGAAGGATCACACATAGTATTAAATGTGGGAACCTATGAATATACAAGGCTATCATTTTATCCACAGGAATGCTCAAACTCAAAGCTCAGGGATCTTCACCCTGGAATAGGAAGACTGGATTCCATGTACACTGCAGGAAAATCACCTCCATTCAGGTTGCTTCTCCGGGCACCCATCCCTGCAATGTCTGCTCTCTAGCATTTGCCTTGCTGGTAATAAGGGCCTGAATGCTCACATAGACCTGGTGGTCTTGCAAGTACTCGAGCCTCTCCTGCTATGGAGGACATAGATAGAAGGATCTGGAAAGGACCTTAGAAATCTAGCCCTGTCAGTGTGCCCCAAACCGGTACTCAGAAAACACTGTCTGTGAGACTTGCAGAGATGTTCCGTGAAAAAAAGTATTCTTCATCCAAGTAAATTTGGGGACAATGGGTTAGAATAAAGTGAATGTTTTGTTATAGGAAGATTTCTCAGAACATTTATGTTTAAATGTGTAGCGTGAAACTCAGGGTGGGGGGTAGTCAAAGTAGAGGAGTGTAAGCATACAGAATACCAGCCCTGTTTGACTGTGGAGGCCCTTGTGGTGGGGCTTTTGTGTGCAACACTCTCACCTACAACTCTCAAGAGTGTTTTTGGAACACCAGTTTGGGAAACACAGACCTAGTTAATCCTTTCACCATTATTGAAAGCTGGGAGAATAACTGATTTAGTAGGACAAAACTAGTTCCCACAACACATGACTCACAATTTATCATCCTTTTCCCCCATACCACACAGCTTCTCAGTTAGTGGGACAGGCATCATTATTACATAGCTTTGGAAGCTGAAGCTTCACATCCCATGCTACCTATTGCAGACAGTAGACTAGGACCTGTGCATCCTCCTTCTAGGATATGACTTGGAGAATTCTCCTTTACAAGAGCCTGGCAGAAGAATTCACTTCTCCAAGTTCAACACGAGCAATTGTGTTTGGCATCTTCTATAGCTATTAGAAGATCCAAATGTTTTATCAAGAACAATCTCAATAGCTTCCAACATCTGCCATGGCAAAGAGTGCTTTGCAAATGGGATTGGATAATGGCACTTCAGTTTTACAGAGGGCATTGATACCAGGCTATGGTGAAGGATCAATCGAGTGTAACAACTTTCAACTTCAAAGCTCATCTTACAGGATCTCATCTATGCTACTTGCCAGGAGGGGTGAAGAACAGTGATCATCTGAGAGGTATATAAGGCAAATGTCAGGAAGGAATTGTCTTAAGTTGTGTTGGAGAAGATGCAGGGAGAAAATTGGGGGTTTCTGGTTCCTACTTCAGATACAACAAAATCCTTTGATTATGAGAGCTCCAGGAAGAAATCAAATTCTTGTCCATGCAGTTGGGGAACAGAATTTAAGAATCAGGGCTCCTGGCTGGCTACTGATTATGCATTCTTCCCCTTCAGCTGAGACAGCCTGCTGGATCTCCATTCCACCACCATCCTGACCACTCATATCAGTGCTCACCATTTCAGAAGGAAGAGAAGGAGAGACTGGGGCAGTGACATCTAGGGAAGTGCTATCTGGACTAAATGTTGATCTCTTACCTGTCTCTCCAAGGGCTAAAAATCCCTTCTTAGGAGTGGTGCCTTGTTCTCAGAAGGAACCCTAATTTTTTCTCTTGGATAATCCTGAAGAGTTAACCAGAATGCTGTGTCCTTCAAAATCATTTCTTGTTCCTGTACACAGTCTGAGGCCTGGAAACAGCCCCTCCTCTAACCATACTCAGGCTCAAAGGGGTCTGAGACTTGCAGGAGAGTAACAGGAACAGCTGTGCCATTTTGCATTCCCATCCGCAATGAACACAAGTTCCTGTTCCTCCACATCTTTGCTAGCAA